TGGTCCGTCAGCTTATGTGCCATTCTAAGTAGCATAAAAAAAATCAGTAAAAGTAATAGTAGAGTTTATAGTTGACTGTCACAAAGCAGCAATACAAACATTGTTTTGCTGTAATTTAAACGTAAAAATACCCAGAGTAATCTATATAAAATATTTCATAATATAACTGAAACTGCTGAATCTAAAATATTGAAATTTTGCAGATAGACTCTTTATGAACAATAAAAAAGGAATTTTGAAAAATCTACCCCTATGCCCCCATAGGGGTAACTTCCAAAAGCTCATGCGTACGAAATCGTGAGCAAAAGCTTATCTCTCAAATAGATAAAATACCTAGTAGCTGGCAGCCTAAGGAAGGTACTATGAGCGACACAGTAAATTCTATGATTTTTATGATATTTTCTGTCTATATAGAAGAAGGTTTCCTCATTTTTTTACGTTCAGTAGCAATATAAACAAGAAGACTTTTGAATAAAAATATTATAAAGTGCCTATTATTGTAATAAAAAACTCGTCATAATCAAAAACGATGATGTTCGTGTTCAGAAATCTGATTGACATAAAAAAAATCCCTATAATTGCATATTCTATCTTCAAGTATCATCTGTTTGATCGAATCAATAAGCTACTAAACAATTATCAAGCCCCAAGCTAGAAATCCATTATAAATAATCAACTTTTTTGCCGCGGAAACCTAACTTCCTCACGCATGTGTGGTTTAAGAAATAATTACAGGATTTTTAAGTAGCCTGTCAAAGTTAATGTGTAAATAGTAGCCTTTGGGATATGGTCTTTTAAAGAACCCACGACCTGCGCAAGGCGTCAATTTTAACGGGAAACCAGTAATTACGCCATTAGATGCTCGATCGATATCCTATTGAACGCTCAATTTTAGCGCCATCGATGCCGCCTTCTTTTTAAAAAAAAAACGTAGAGGCAAAGAAAACTGTCCGTGAAGTTAGCTGTTACTATAATTATTTTGATGCGTTTGGATTTGCCCTTGTCATAATATTATTATATTCGAAAATTATTATTAGACAGAATTAAAAATACATAGTACAATACATACTAATGGTATTGTTAGGTAATAAATATAATTAAATTACAAGATAGAAAAATTATCACTAATAGAACGAATTAAAAGTCTGTGTCTAAACCACAAATAATATAATAGGTATTATATTAGTATTTAAACTAATATTATTAAAAGGAAAAATTAAATATTTAATAAAAGAATACTTAATTGATTATAATCATTCTTTAACTAATACAAAACTACGTTATCAGCGAATAATATTTGTTTTGTTAATTTAAATTAAATTGTATTTTATTTTTTAAAAAAAAGTTGTACGAAACCGGGATGAATTGCAATTTTTTTTATAATATTCGAAATGACAAATAAGTTGACATACGAGTATGTATACCTTAATCTTTGATATGTACATAGCATCTTAATAGGACATTAATAATAAAGAAATTCGTCTCACATCCTATTTGTTAGCCATTCCTAATAAAAAAAAATAGGTCAGTCACATTGTTGTGCCACAAACTTGCCACAACATGCACATGTTGTGGCAAGTTTGTGGTAAGTTTACCTGATCAATACATTAATGTACTTGCATTATATAATTTAAGTTTGTACTCGTACTTGTAAACTTCTGTTATGTGCGCTGATTTGATTTTTCTTAATACGATAGACGTAACAATACCTTAAATCATAAACAAAACTTACTAATACTTTATTTTCAACCGTCTTCAAAAAGAACGAGATTCTCAATTCGGTTGTAATTTTTGTTTATGTTTGTCACCTCATAATTCCATCAGTCGTAAACCGGTTTGGAATTCTTGATTTGAATTTTTTTTTATCAAATAGGATATACTTAGAGATTAGTCTCGTAGAAATTTTATCAAAATCGGTTAAGTAGTTTAGTTTTTAAATCAAAATACCTAATTTAGTCACAATAGAAGTCAGTTTTTTGTGGAACACAATTTAATTGTTTGGATGATTGAATGGCAAATCCATTGTTAGCACCTTGCACCAAAGCTACAGGAAGTACATTTGAAATATGCGCTGTTAAATAAAGAACATAGATATTACCTAAATACCATATTGTCGTTACCGACATATTTGCGGGCTGCGTGTTTAATTTGATTCAGTTAGATAAGAATTGTGTGATGTTCGTCCGAAAGCCATGATGTGTCTACGTATATACGAACCCACATTAATAGTGTAGGAATTTTTTATTGCCTCTCTGTTTACTGCACTCGATAATAACGGCGAAATGAAAGTTCGTGTGAACGGCCAGGTGTCTTGTTCGATAGTCCGTTTAGTTCCCCGGCTTTGCTCATTAGTCGGTTCTGAAGTGGTTATATAGTTTTGGCTATCAGGGCCCGCGGGGTATCTGATAATCTTGATAGTACTTACAATGATTTCGTTTTTATAGTTCAACTAAAACATAATTATTACATTAGAAGCTCTGTTGGTATCTACCTTATTACCTACCTGAAATATCATAACTATACAACTAATAATAATAACTTGGGCACGTATCTTTTTACATTAGGCTATATTACAGAATATTAAAATACTTTTCAAAATAACCAGAGGGAGACTTTATACAAAAGTCGATTGCTTGGGTACCTCTGTCCCATTTGTGTTTCAACCGTGAATCAGTTGTGTTTGCATGGCTGTGTTTCGGTTTGAAGGGTGGGATATAGCGTGAATTTACTGGGTACAGAGGAATAACACCTGAGTCCTCAGGAATGGCAACGCATGGGGGGTATCATGGGCGAAACAGTATACTCTGTTATGTCCATGGTACTGCTCATATGTCTATAGGCGACAGTTACCACTTTCCATCAGTTGGGCCGTCAGCTTGTTTGCCATTCTAAGTTGTATAAAAAAAACTTTAAAAAGAAGATTTGTATTTTTTTAAAAGTATGTTTAGCTCATAATTCGGTCAATTCTGAAGCGATTAGGAAAGTTTTTTTTTTTTAATAAAAGGATGTACTTAAAAATTGACCCCATATAAGTTTTATTAAAATTGGTTACGTATTTATATCAATTGTCCTATTGTAATAAGATGCAAGTGTGTTAATACATATTCGGGAACAGTGAAATAAAAATTAATGTAAAATTACAAGTTTTAGTTAATATAAATAAACATAGTAGCGATCCACTAAGAAAATGTTTTTGTAGGTGTTGATGATGATGATGAATGTGTGGTGATGGAGGAACAATATTGACTACATAATCCTGTTAATATTGTAAATATAAAAGTGTATAGCGGTGGATAGATGGATGTTTATTAGTCTTTTATGCAAAAACAATTGAACGGGTTTGAATGAAATTTGGTATATCTACACTTAAGTTATATCATAACCACACAGAATACTTTACGTATTGATTCACGCGAGTGTAGCCGCTAGATACAGCTAGTTACATACAAATTTTAGTTATTTCAAAGATTATCATGTGATTAAATTTGATGGATTGTTTACACAAGTGGGTAGGCAGTCAATATCTGTGATACCCAATATTAAAAATCAATTTCACCTTTCAAAAATTGGCAATCTTATCTACAACCCACTTACCTAGGTACTTTATTGTAGTCATATTAAATGGGTACTAAAAATTACAAAATTTATTTATTATTTGTAAGAACATAGCGTGGATATACTCGTATTCATAATACTTTTTAGGTTCTTTTTTTAAATAATAATAAACTCTTTATTTCACACAAAAGAGATTTATACAAGGAGTATTTATACAGAATGTGCATATACTAAAGGTGGCCTTTTCTTTAAAAATAATCTCCTACAGACAATCTGGCATGAATAGTAAATAAATAAAGAAATACATAGAGAAACGCACAACGGCCCAAATGAAAGGCTAAGTGCGGAAAACAGAGTCTTTCTTACATTACATACATAGAGAAAAGTAAATGGCGCAGGTCATACAGTAAATATTAAAAAAAGTTTCCCAATTAAAAATGCTTATCATTCTAAATATCATTTACATGAAAATAAGTTTAAATTATATAAATATATTTATATAAAATTTATAATAGTACATAAACATGAATAATTATGTAATAAATATATTAAATAGATCAAGGTAAATCATACGTAGTACACATATTAGAGAGATAGGTAATAAGATTTTACCTGCCTCTCGAACGAAGCAAGAAATTGTACTAATTTAATAAAAAAAGGTAAGGAATTCTTTTTTTTTTTTATCTGAAAAACTATATTTACAAATTAGTTGCATAGAAATTTTAACAAAATCAATATAGTTTTCAAAACAAAATAACTGGTTTTATCACAATTGAAGTCGTTATTTGTGAAAAGCAATTGAAGAAACTAGAAAAAAATTAGAATGCCAAATTTAGAAGTCAAGCTACGAGTATTTCATGAATGTAAAATGACCGAACCGAGAACTAAAGTGGAATCAAACAAACGAATCATCTTTCTACAAAGTTTTTACAATAACATTATTGTAACAATACAAATACTTTTAATATTTAAACAATACAATAACAATACCCTAAGCAAACTAGCTTTTAAACATAATTGTCTCCTAAAATTTCTATTTCTTAAAAAGAGCCGATTTCTAAACTTCATTCCCTTTTTTCCCACTTTATCCCTAAACTTAACCTTGCCGGTTACTGTATTTGAGACAGATTGTTTTATCTATTCTTCTAATACATTTAATTGTTTGGTATAGTAATTTTTCGTGTATTTACTTATGTATGTATTTATTATATGTATTTAATATATTATATGTATGTTTATGTTAGTCTAGTTAAATGTTTATATTAGATCAATATATTAAATATTACTTTATATTTCCTCTAATTAATAATGCACTGCTACTTATTTCTGAGTTTGCCCAATGATTAACGGATAGAGAACACCGTCCGGTATTAAGTCCGCCAAATGTACATAGAATTTTACTGTGTATTAAAATTTTAATATATAAATAAATCATTTAATTTCAGCAAGTGGCAACCCCAACGGTGGTGAAGAAGATTCTTCGTCTGAAACAGGAGAACCCTGGTATGTTCGCGTGGGAAATCAGGGAGAGACTGCTCAGCGCGAGAGTGTGCGAGCCACATTCTATACCTTCGGTGTCTTCTGTGAATAGGATCCTGAGGAACAGTGGACTAGCGTGGAGCGATGACGAACCTAGGAGTGGGCATGGTAAGTTGTATTTTATAACTTGGAATGAAAAATAAACCGACGGCCCACTTGATAGAAATAGGTGCACATTGCCTACAGAATGAAATGGTGTTCAATCCATCAAATGTACACGCGTGATGGTTTTCAAATTTTATTTATTTATTTATTTCTCTCACAAAATGACAACATAATAAAATTTACAGCTATATAGGTTACAATTTAAAAACAATCTTTGTGAGAGACTGGTGTCGGTACTAGGATTACCCGTCTTACAGATCACCAGGCTCCCAAAATCAAGGACATCTATTTTACTTCCAATCCGCTACGCTTACCCAGGAAAGCATGAGTACAATAACATATAAAAAGGAATATTACACAAAAATAACAAAAATAATATAAAAAGATTTAACTCAAACAAAAACGTCTGAACACAAATACTCTGTGGTCACTCGACGAAACACCAGCAAGTTGGAGGCAAATACATCCAATTGCGGATACTGGTTCCAAAATATCAATGAGTAGATATGTAGATAGAATAAAAAAACATAACAGAGGTACAAAGTATTTTCTTGAGCACACTAATTTATCATCATCATTTCAGACGTTAATTGTCCACTACTGAACATAAGTCTTCGCCATAAAGAGAGTTTTGGCAATAGTTGCCACGCTTGGCAGGCGGCTTAACAACCGCAGTTAGGCTTTTAGTGATATTTTAAGAGGGACGCTGCCCATCCCTATCCCTATATCATTAAGTTTCTATAGTTGCCTATTACTTCACCCAAAGGAAAGGGTGGTTATTCTATACCAGGTGGCTATTCTATACCAGGATAGCACCACACGAACAATTAATTTATGAAGTCGGATAATTAACAAATAAAAATAAAAAGGTAAAACAATAAAGAAATAACTTTTTAACCATTTAGGTACTCATTGTTATTCCTGAAGACGATAAGATATAAAGAAGAAGGATATTATTTATTTAATTAATGTATTAATACTAATAAAAATAATACTATAAATACTTGTATTAACTATAGGTGCCATGCTATCGTACCAACTATTTTCACTGCCATATATTTTCAAACCGAAACACAATCTTTTTAATGACAGGAATACGGAGAAGGCATAGGTACGAGTATATACATATATATACCTATAAACTTTGCTTTTTTTCCATCTGGTACATACAAAAGTGCTGATGTTTTTAATGTTTTGCAAACAATCATACGTTCTGTATGTATGATAATGGAATAGTAACCCCCGACTGAGCTTACGGAATACGCTGGTGATGCGCCAGTGAAGTCCAACCCGCCTAACAAGCGTGGCAATTATTGGCAAATCTCGCCTCATGGGGAAGTTTTATGCTCAGCAGTGGATAGTTAATGGCTGATCTGATGAAGATGATAAACATCCAGTTCGTACAGAACTCTAAAAAAAAAGAACACACAATAAGCAAGTCTAATATTACAAATCAAAACGCAATTGTTTTGTAATTTCAAATATGAAGATAAGCGAATGCCATTGTTTTAAAAAATTAACGAGCTCTACGTATGTCAAGTTTGAGCGGCATAATTAGCTATGTACAAATACTATTCATTTGTTTTTCGGTTAGATTTTAATGGCCGAGTAAACATGATACAGCCATAAACAAAATCTGAGCACATAAATTAACAGAGCACAAATTAACGCAAATACCGTCATAACAAACGTACGGACGGACGGACGTAAATTCTTTCGAGCTAGACAGGTGTGAGGAAGCGCCCAGTAGGTAGTAACGTGATAGTTTACTTAATTAATTAATGTTAAATTAAGCCAAGTTATGTCGGCGACATTTTGTTTAAGTGCTCGTCTTATGAATAGAACAGAGATGTTATTAATAAGGATAATCATTATTGTTTCACTTTAAGGATTCTTTTTGTACCTATTTAAAACCGTTCAGATTTTTTTTATGCAACTTAGAATGAACAAGCTGACGGCCCACATAATGGAAAGTGGTAACTGTCGCACTTTCGCTTATAGACATCAACTACCTACCATGGACATAACAGAGTATACTGTTTCGCTCTATTAACAGAGTATATTGCCATGGGGATACCCCCCATGCGTTGCCATTCCTGAGGACTCGGGTCTATAAAATAAAGAAGTATAAAATAATTGCTTTTCAATAATTTAAAATTGTTGTCTACAAAAAAATATTTAAGTCGCGGCAAAACCAGTTATTTTAATTTAAAAACTAAACTATTTTAGTGATTTTCATAAAATTTCCATAGGATCAATCAGAATGATACAAAAGAATATTCCAAATCGGTTTATAACTAACAGAGTAATACGGTGTTTATTATTATTGATGCACAAAATGTTTTCTAAAAAAGATATGCCGTTTGTGCACGAATGAGCTGTAGCCATAAATTATACTGTAGCGTTTCTTCCTCATTATGGCAGAATCTGCAAACGGTTTTTAACGATAAGCCTAGTCGAGTCATGTGCTTATTTATTTTTCAGTTTTCAGTTAGTGCTTTTATTAATACACGAATGCTGTTTTTTGTTTTCTGAAAATCCTGTTGGATCGCTTGGTTTTGTTCGAGTTATGAAATAAGAAATATAAAAAAAAACACCGGATTGAGAATCATCTCTTTTTTTGAAGTTAGTTGAAAATTAATACCTATGCCATGCAATGCACATTACATATTCTACGATTATACTATTGCGACGTGATAGGAGAGCAAAATGTATGCAATTCTACAATGTAATTTAAATTTAAATTTTAAATATACTACGGTATATTTCAAAAGTATCCTAGGTTCTGTTATTTTAATAGACCTTATCTGTTCCTTATTTTAACAATAAGTTTTTTTTTCAGATACTTATTCTCAAGCCGAGTTACCTCCAAACGTAATGGACTATATGTCCTTGAAGAATTCGCTGCCTCACGCTCCAGTGCCATCTCAGAATCCTTCGTACTTCGCTCACTCGGCAATCAGAGTGCCACCACCTCAAACGGACTCTACCCTTTACGACCGACGCCTTACTACATCCTGGCTTCTAGCCAATCAAGTGCAAGCACAAGGACTTCTAAAACCATACCCGATTTCTCCTTGGCAAAGAATCATGATGCCCTACCATGATTCGAAGAATTTCTCCCCGTACGCTGTAAATCTTCACAATGATTTACTAAACAGAATAAACTCAGATGAAGTAAAATCAGAGAATTCTGAGCACATCTCCGTAGAAGCAAGTGACGATAGCACGGATAGACCAGACACAGACGAACGTAAAACCCCACATGAAAAGGAAAAGAAGAAAAATCCTTATTCAATAGAGGAATTGCTAAAAAAACCGGAAAAAATTCGCGCTAGTCCAGTTGGCTTTCAAAATTTCCTACGACAGCCCAGTGGAAGTATGATTGAATATCAAAGCCCAGAAAAAGATTTGAGCAACAGAAGTTCACCTGCTAGTTTTTGTTCAGTACAGAGTAGTGTGTCTAATGACTGTTTTACAGAATCTATTGCGTCAGAAATAAAGGCGGGTAATTAAAGTCATCACATTAAAAATTTTAAACCAATCCCGTGCAATAAAATTATTAATTGGTTAATTAATGATAAACAAAAATATTTCCTTTTGAAGAAACTATACGTTTTATAATTAAGCTTCAGTTATTGAATTCATGAGAGATAATCTGAGCAGTTTTAATGTGGTTGTTGGATTAAATAATCATAACAATTAATAATTGTCAATTTAATATACGTTTCATTAGAAGGCGCCATAAAATGAGATTTCTGTGTCCATACTAATCATAATTTATAAATGTAGGTTTACAAAGTTACATTCCACTTAATATCTAGTGACGTAGTATTTTTAATAAATTATTGATCTAGTTATGCTTATTTACTTTTATTTTTAATTATAAATATAAAAATTGTAAATATATTATCTACTTAATACTCTCATAGATAAATAAATATGTATTTCTGTTAGCTGAAACTTAAAGATTCTGTGATATTTTAGTAAGTACTTACCAACTTAACCTTAATTGTAACTGTAAATTAAAAAGGAACTAGATAATAAATGTTACTTATTACCTAAACATTCCCTAATCAATTATTTAAAATAGCACAACTGTTTTGTAAAGAATCATTGTTTGTACACGCGTGATTTCGGCTCTACAAGAACATTGTTTAGAATACAAGAATATTCTTTCTTCTATAAAGAAATATGTTCAAATCAAAATGGAACTGGGACATTAGTACTTGTATAATTTACCTACTTACATAAAATGTAGTAGTAACACGTTTAGATGTTTATTTAAACATTCACGTAAATAAATAAAATTACGTCAAAACGATTGTTGCAATGATTTATGCGCCTACCTAGTCCTTTCCTTAATAATATTTTAACATCATACTGCTGGCCTCGAATCCCTCCCCAAAGTAGCAAATATAAGCTTTCATTATCACGTTGACTTAATTGGAATGGATTTGAATGAAAGAGTAGGAGCGTGAGAAAAGAATTACAAACAATCATACAAGTCCTCAGGTCCTCCTTCTAGGATGTACTGTTAGTCAGAACCGGGCAATTCAGATGTTTATTATATTAGACGCAACCCCGGATACCCAAACACAAGTGAATTCGGAACAACTCGCTTCCCAAATTTTCCCAATCGATCCGGGACCTCATCCTACTCTTTGTGGTACAGACGGTAGAATAAATTTTTAGGATAAAAACCAGCTATGTGTTCAATGAATTAATCAATAATATTCAAAAATCCCATCTGGTCCCGGCACAGAATAGGCCACTCCTTTTCCCGTGGGTATCGTAAAAGATAACAAAGGGAACATTTAGCGGGTTGCCAACCGCAGTTAGCGGTTGCCAACCCGCCTTATAGAATATAGGCTTTTGTTCATTACAGGACAGTTAACAGCTAAAAAATATATAGTTTATCTTGTAGCACTGGTTTTCAAATATATGTATATATAAAAAAATTACAATATAATAGATTCTTGACTAGCATGTGACAAGTCGAATTTATCGGTATCCGTGTACGTTGGACAGCTCAGGCGGACACTGACGTCTGTCAATTGAATTTGGCACCTAAGATAGGTTATTATATTCAGTGTGACCTTGCCAGGCGGCAAGGGTTAGACTTCAAAATATTGTATAAGTATAAAGAAATTTGGATTTCGATTTGGTCTCGTAATTGGAGGTAAAACTTGGAAATATACAAAGTCGCCACAAGAACTTCGTTTGTTGGAGGCTTGGCAAAATTGTGAGGCGTAATTCTCAGCCCGGAATATAAATCTGGAGCAAATATAACTTTAACTAGCAAATAAAATTTCAGAAGGAATTCGAAGCCCGAAAAGGTAATTTCTCTGTTTTAAATTCTATTAAACGATTTATTTATTTTCTTAGATATTCTATATTTGCTGTGTACAGTAGTTTCCAAATGTAGAAGTTTGAAATCCCATAAAGTGGGTAGTAGCTTCTTTCCTAGCATGTCGTGAAGGCGACTAATGGGACTATGGCCTTGTCTTTGTCTGGGTAGACGATGTGCTAGCAACCTGTCACTGTGTCGCTTCCATCTGTTTTCAGCTTGTTTTAGCATCATGTAGGGAACGTCTTCTCTTTGTACTTTTAAACCCTTTTTTATATATCACTTTCTCAAGTTGTACTGACCAGAGGGAGACTTCGTACCAAAGTTGTTCGTGTGGGTACTTCTGTCCCATTCGTATTTCAACCGTCTAGCAGTTGGATTTGCTTGGGTGTGTTTTGGTTTGAAGGGTGGGATATGGCGCAAATTTACCGGGTACAGAGGAATAACACCTGAGTCCTCAGGAATGGCAATAACATGGGCGAAACAGTATACTCTGTTATATCCATGGTAATGCTCATGTCTATAGAAATAAGGATTTATTCGCAGAGGGTTTGAGCAGAAAAAAGAATATATATATATATATATATATATATATATATATATATATATATATATATATATATATATATATATATATATCGATCGAAACTGAAGTTAAGAACTACCTAATAAAAAAAAACAACTTCATCAGTATGGTTTCATTATAGTCTGTTCTGATCATTGTTCTTGTGATGTTACAATTAACGATTTGATTTGTCAGTAAAGTCTGTTATATAGATACCTACATGCACATAAATAAAATAAAGTAATATAAGTTTTTTTTTTATATTAAAGCGTTATCTAATTATATAGAAATTATAAAATGTCCTCATAGTAATGAGGACATTTTATAATTTTGGCAATTTCTCTTTTTAACCGACTGTGTGGATTTTTAACAGTTCCTCGCAACTTAATTGACGACGCTTAGGCATTTTTCTAGATTTCTGTGAACTCCCTCAGGTAAAGCAAAAACCAATTTACAATACTTCGTCAACGGTTCTTGACGCTATTGTAAATCGTAGTAAACGAAAATTTTCATAAAATTCGGCTTGCCTTGAAATGAGTTACCTTTATTGTGGTGTTTATAGTTTAATAATATGGCGATTTGTTTTCATAGGTCCATTTCATTTTTAGACAATAGATCCTGTACAAGTCAATAGAAAGAAATTTCTAAGGATTTTTTTTTGGGCGGTGAATACTTTCCGCCTAGTTGTATGTTCCTTGATCAGTAGTGTTCTGTGCGTTTGAACAGTAACATCGTTTGCTTGTCGATTGCTGTTATATTACTGTTGGCTCGTATTTATAAATTTCATCATAAAAATATCGTTTTAAGTGGTGTAAACATTGGATATAGTAAACAAAATGGATTCGGCTAATTTGACCAAACAGGTATATTTTGATTTTTTTCACGACTGGAAAAACACTACGTGAACGAGTGGTGTTTTTCAAAATATTTATGTAAAAACGGAAATATGCCATCGAAGTGCTGTAAATTTCAATCAAAATCAACCAAATAAAATAGCAATTGTGGAATTAACATTTATCAATTTCAACTTAAAATTCACATTTTTTTTTCAATTAGTTTCCGCAATAGATGGTATATATATATATATATATATATATATATATATATATATATATATATATATATATATATATATATATAATATACAAAATAAAATAGAGTAATTTAGTGAAACATTTGATTTCAATTTTGCATAATTTTCGTTTCTAGGCTGAGGAAGTTGAAGCACTGAGCTCGATTTATGGCGACGATTGGACAATAGAAAGTGAAAAAATTAAAACATACCGTATCCGAATTATAGAGAACAAAAAGGAAGCAATGTTGCATGTGACAATGCCACCCGAGTATCCCACTTTATCGCCACCTAAATATGAATTATCGGCGCCGTGGATGGATAGAAGGGCGAAAGCGAATCTTCGAAATTTACTGGACGACGTATACTTGTGAGTGTTATGACTCTTTTTTTTTAATCATTCATAATCATAACAGTTTTCAGTTAGTCTGACATTAGTATGTCTTTGTTAATGTTGCTAGATATCTATTATCTTAAACTTACAATTAATATATTTTTTATTGTGTTCAGTTTAAATTATTCAATTTTTAAGTATGATCGGGCAAATAGTAATGATACTGTGAAACATTGTGGTGTTGATTTTGAAGCCCCATCCTTCTAAACCTATCTTGAAAATTAAAATTTTTATGCCACCTTCATTACACATGAACACGATGACAACACCGTTTATTTGCCCTCAGAGGCAGGACGCTCGTTGGTGCAATATGCATGTTATGTTTTCATTTCAGAGAAAATATTGGTGAGATAGTAATATACCAATTGGTGGAAAAAGTAAGAGATTTCGTGCGCAAAGCGAAGTCTACTGAGACCCGAAAAAAGACCGTTACACCGGTTATTAAATCTTTAGATAAGACAAAGGTTGGTATCTTGTATTTATTTTAATTTTAGTATGAATGTCTCTCGTTATGAAAGTTGTTCACATTAATAGAAATATAGATGAGACTGTCACTTAATCAGTGAAGAGCAATTTAAAATACCTTTAAGAGGTATTTTAAATTATTTATATTTTTAAATATCATCTTCATTGATGCAATCGAAAATATACGAAAGCGATTGAATATTTTACAATATTTCCGATTATATCAAGAAAAAAGTCCCCTGATAGAGAATACAATAGTCTCAGAATAAAAAACAAAAAATAACATTTCAATTTCTATTTCAGTTAAAAATAAACTGTCCAGAAATAACCCACGGCGAGGTAATAGTAGACAGGAAAAGCTCATTCCAAGGTCACGCTGCTGAGGTCCATAGTGTAGAAGACGTCAAGTAAGTGAAGCCATTATTAAGATAATCTTTAGTTTTACTAAAGGTAGACATTGTATGGAAGCGTTTAGACAGATTAGTCTCTAATATTAGGGTTTTTTTTTTTGTATGAGGGATATCTCTCTGTCTCTGTCTGTCGTGGCAAATTCAAACAGAATTAACCACGGTGGTTTCCAGGGGGATACGCGTGGAGATCGACCTGATGAGGTATAATGATAGCAATGAATATTATTATTTATATATGTATATCGTATTTTGATCCCATTACTAATGATCCTGTTTGTAAAATAAAATCACCGTCTGTTGACTTGAAGTATATTATGTATTTTTTGTTCTATTTCAATTGTTTTTTAAATATTCTTTTTTATAAAAAACCACAATTGTCAAAGTATATAAAAAGGTTAATTTTGAACATATTCCACCTAGGAAAAAGGTGTAAGAGAATTTAACAAATTATAAAAATACTTAAAATAAATTATTATGTACTAGAAATAAAAGTTAACAATAATATTTATACATATAAAATTAATTATCATGTGATGTCAAGTAGATCAGCTTATTAATAGGTCTTAAAAAGGTACCTCTAATGGTTTTTATCAAGGCTGACCTTACGAGATCATCATCCTGGTTAGGGTATATATTGATTACTCTTCCCAACGACCAAACACTGGGAGGAGTATCCTCATCTTTAACTATAACAAGGTCACCCTTCTGTATATTTTTCCTAACATTCATCCATTTAGGACGACTTTGTAACTCTGCTAAATATTGTAATTTCCATTGACGCCAAAATTGTTGTTTTAATACTGTAATTCTTTGAAAAAGTGATAATCTATTGTGTTGAATATGCATCGTGTTAGGCTCAGGTATATCCATCAAAGAGTTGCCTATCAAAAAATGAGCTGGGGTAAGACAGGTCATGTCATTAGGTAAATCTGACATCGCACATAACGGCCTAGAATTCAAGATCCCTTCTATTTGAATGACTATCGTATTTAATTCTTCATAAGGGAGCCTTGTATTACCTAACTGCCGCTTCATCAAGTTCTTAGCTGCCTT